TCTCCATATAAAATCAAGAAAGACCGTGCTCCAATTTCTTCATCTCTTCCTTGAAATCAACCATTGCTTCTTGTTGCAGATATACCAAAACTTTGAATCCATCTTTCTTCCCTTCACTAGCAGAAGAATAAGGCAAGAAAAAACAAGGCTCAATACTCCCAACTAAGTGCCTAGAAAGTGGAAAAACAATCACAGGACCACCCCATCCAAAATCAACTGTAGCATGTCCCAAATGTCTCCAATCAGTGAATCCACTCACACTATTACCTGCAGAGGCGGATCAAGATTTTAATTAATGAATGCAATTGAATTCAATATTTTCGACATCCAGCATATATACTATAGATAATAAATTACTAAAATTTCAACAATGGATATTAGCACTTTTGGCCCCTTTGTTATTGGTAAATGGTGTAACAGCCAGAGGCTTTCGAACTCACAAAATTCAAGGTCTGCGTACACACTACGCTCCTCAGACCCCACTTGTGGGAATATACTGGGTTTGTTATTGTTGTTGGTATAAATTTATGCTCCGCATCGAAAGTATTGGGACGGCACCGCTACGCTGGATCCACCCCTGGTAACGGCTAAATAATATGTGAAGTTTGGCAAGCATAGGGATCAAAATTACACATTTCTATTATTTGAAAGTTAAATGTGCTTAGTCAACTATCACAAGAACCAAAATATGAATTTGTCAATATTTGAGGGACTAAAAGCGCAAATTTCCGAACAAATATTAAATTTTGAATCTATAATTTCAGGAGGACAATAAATTTAGCGCTAAATTACCTGCTGTGATTCCTTCATGATAATGAAGCTCCTGGAAATCGATGAAGGATCGAACGTACTCATCGCTCGTGTTGTATTTACTGTTCTTGATTGAATCTGCAGTCTTATACAATGGTTGATCCAACAGGTCTTTTGCTAGGAGTTGAACATACATTGGGACACACCCATTGCCCCAATAGCCAGGAGGTAATTGTGGTTTTGTTATTCTTCTTATATTTGTTGCATATGCAAATTTCACTGTCTCTTCACCTGAGATTTTAGCAGCCTTTACCCTGTTTCACACTTTGAGAAATTAGTCCCTAACAGAATTATAAATACAACAACAACATACCCAGTGTAGTCCCACAAGTGGGGTCTGGGGAGGGTAGAGTGTACGCAGACGGGCAGACCTTACCCCTGCCTTTAGAAAGACACAGAGACTATTTCCGGAAGACCCTCGGCTTAGAAAAAACAGAATTATAAATAAATTAGCAAAAATTAAAGATAGTTTCAATTTATACATGTGGCATCGTTCGTATTGCGGTCAAAGAAAAACTAGTTTACAATAACAACAACAACGAAAAAAAATTCAGTGTAATCCCATATATGAGGTTTGGAGAGGTTAGCGTGTACGCAGACCTAACACCTACCTTATAAGATGGAGAGACTGTTTTCGATAGATCACCGGCTCAAGGAATAGTACAGATAAGATAAAGCAACAAAGAAAAATTGGTTTGATGCTTGAAATTTGAATGGTTCCAATATAAATCGAGATAGAGGGAGTATTAAACAAGTCAATTTTTATATGTGTAGGACATACCTTGCCCGCCATATGAAAGCTCCCAAGGCTTCAAAAGTAGTATAATTTGAACCGGATTGCTCATGAAGAAATACCTTAAGCCGGTCCAACCACTCATCCTTCACCTTAAAACACTCTCGAACCGCCGGTTTATCCGACTCCATGTACGGCAAAGAGTTTTTATCCAGATTAAGAAACTCATGAAATGGGAACTCGACTCGGGGGGGCTCCCTAGGTCCAAGCAGACTCGATCGATTCCAAACCGGTTCAAACTTTAACCGGCTCGCCCCACGAGCCAGCTCCGCCATCGCATTGAAAAAAAGGGTTGCCCCGAGTCCATCACATAATGAGTGATGTATCGCGGCTCCAAGAACCCACCCGCCACACTTGAACCGTGTCACTTGGAGAATAAAGGGTCGGGTCAAAGAATCTTCCTCTCTCGGGTCGGGTACTAACTTCTCGACGAACTTTTCCTCCGGGTCATCAAGGTAGTTAATTTCACTCAAGGGACAATCCACCGTGGCCCGTGTCACCGGGACCCCACTGCCAGCGTGGCAGTGGAGCTCCAGGCGGTTGTCCGTGTCACTACGGACAAGACTGCCAGTGTAGTGATAGTAGTGGACGAGGGCGGCGGAGAGGGAAGAGGTGACAACTTGAAACGGGTCAGTTTGTGCTCGGGCTTGGTCTTCCGGGTCATTGACGTAGACCCGAAGGTATCGAAATGTGATATGGAGGTTTATGTCAGTGTCTAGGTGGGAAAGAGAGAGGACATGATCGTTAGTGAAAGGGGTTGTTGATGGGAGAATTATGGTTGTTTCCTTAATGTTTACGTCCATTTTTACGGTGGTTGACGACGGCGGACACGGAGGAGAATGGTGGAGGGAGAATAATGATGTCCTTATAATCATGTTGTTGTTTATAGAGTTTGAAAAATTGGTAGGTAGCAAAAAGTGGAAAGAAGCACGTTGTTGATGGCTTTTTTTATTTTTTTTGGTGGGAAAGGGGCTGTTGATGGCTTTTAGTTTGACTTATTACATTTTAATTTAACTAATCATTGCAACAAAATTTTAAAATAGATGCCTAAATAGTTAGGAGAAAATAAGATTTTAAGTCCAAATACAGACAGACGATGGAGCACAAATTTTGACTATTTGAAGCGGAATGTCAAGCAAATAAATTTATTCGCACCGAATATTTAAAAACAACAACATTTGCTTCACTTTTTTTATTCGTAATAATAATAATAGAATGTACTCCCTCCGTTTCAATTTAGATGAGGTAGTTTGACTCGACACGAAGTTTAAGAAAAAAAAGAAAAGATTTTTAATACTTGTGGTCTTAAAAGCTTAAGGGGTAAAAGCTCTGTAGGACCATAACATTTATGTGGTTATATAGGCTTCTCATTAAGGGTAAAATGGGTAAAATGAAGAGTTTAATGTTGAATTATTTTCAAATTTAGAAATGTGTCATTTATTTATAAACAGACTAAAAAGGAAAATACCTCATCTAATTTGAAACGGATGGAGTATAATCTACTAATGTTTGACCAAAAAGTATAACTTTTGGTTAAAAAGTTGAGTTTATATAATAATGGGTTAAACTTAGTTAATAATAATATCTCTAGATGCGGGTTCCGAAAATGTGACTAATGTTAAACAGATCTAATGGTGGATTGACTACAATATGCATTAACTGTTCCTAAAAGTATGAGCAATAATGTAACAAAAAGTAGCAATAAATAACAATAAATGACATCCGAGTGAATAGTAGGAGTGATTCACCCAATAAAGCATGAACTAGTTGACTATCCCTCCTAACAATAATGAGTTACAGACAAATCCCAGAATGTTCGAATTATTCTCGAATCTGATGGAAATGTGTGGAATAATATCAACAAGAATCTAGGTGAAAAGGTAATGTTTGTATCTTTGCAAGAGAAAGAGAGAATCTTTTATCGAAAGTTTGTTCCTACCAAATGAATGTCACATGCCTTACACCATTGTCTCTTTTTCTATTTATATGAGACATTTTCCTATCAAACCCTAATAGTACAAGTGTAAAGAATATCCACTAGAATATTCTCTTTAATATCCTATTTCGAAAACTAGCCGTTACAGCTTTGCCAACGGTGCTCGACCTCGACCATTGTTGACATCTCTACCACGAATCTCGCTACTTCCTGGTCGACCTCGACTGATGACGGCTTGAGGACTCTTCCTTTAGTGTTATCTTATCTTAAATATTCTAGGGCAGATTTTTACCAATACAGTTAGTCCTTCCGCTTATTGAGACCGCCCTCAAGCGAGCTTAATGAGCGGATTCAGTTCGTCGTGGTCGAGATGATTTGACGAGTGGGTTGGGTCGTGATGTTTGAAGCGAGCTGGCAACGTGGCCTTTCATGAGCCGCAATTTTTTTTCGGGTTACGTTGTTCCAGGATCAAAGTGACATCATGACATTATGCAGCATTATGATGCATTTTTCCGATGCGTTACATCGTTTTGCGTGCGCCTTTTGGTTGGATATGCTGCTTCGATAGTGGTGCCAAGTAATGATGGCCTAATTTCTAGGTTCCGATGCCTGAGCTTTTATAAATAAGGATGTGAAGACATAATATCAAGTTTTACAGATTTCTCATACCGAAACTTTGTGTCTCCTTCTTCTTCTTCCATTGTTGTGCCTTTTCTTTTCCCTATCCTAGCGATCCTGTTGTTTCTAACTCCCTGTTGTTTCGAATATTCTCTTTTTTGTCGGAAATATGTCTATCATATCTTCTGGTCCCAACGAGGGAAGCGACCCAGTTCCCCTAGCGATGGTTTTCCCTCCTCCCGCGAAGGGCGTCTCCGCTACTGTCGAGGATGAGAATTTTCCTACGGTTGAGGAGATAATTATTCGTAGTGAGAAAGCCAAGTCTGATTTTACAAAGGCGCCCGAAGCTGAGCGTGAAATCTCTGAGTCGGCGATGAAGAAGACTGATTTATTAGAGCTTAGGGCTAAATACAACATTCCCGCTCGCATCGAGTTGGTCCCTGCCGGGCAGGACGTGGTTCAAGTCCATCGCCCTGGGTACTGTGCGTTCTACGCTTACCCCTTTCATGTCGGCTATACTCTTTCCCTTATTCCATTGGCAGAGGTGTTTTGCTGTTTCAATGGTGTTTGCCCGGCTCAGCTCGCACCGTATATCTACAAGCTCATAAGGATGCTTACCAAGTTTGCGGAGCTGGCCGGGGTTGAGATCATTCTTCGGCATCTGATGTATTTATTCTCCCCCAGTTTCAATAGGGGGACAATGTTGAACCTTCGCCGCCGAAGGGGCAAGTTCTTGGTGGTGAAGATGGATGACAAGGCTAGCCGCTAGTTCTGGCATAACTTCTTCTTCGTCAGAATTGAGGACGTGGTGGCCAACGCAAACGGCTTCCCTGAAACTTGGAATTATACTCGTAAGCATCTACTCTTTCTGTATTGAGGCATTTGGTTTACTTCGCTTAGTCGCGGGTTTTGATCTCTTGCTCCTTTCTTATGCAGCCAAGACTTTGCCCCCTCATTTGGTCGAGGATATTTCTGATTGGGTCGGCCGGCTCCTCCCTCATATTGCGGGGATTCGCAAGTGGCCGGGCATTCTCCAGAAGTTTGGGCCTGCTCCTTCCTTGACTGGTGAGTTTGTTTGCTTTGGTTTCTTAGGTTCTAACCTTTTGTTTTTCATTCTGGTTAACCTTCTTTTCTTTTGTACTTCTCTCAACTCCAGCTTGAGGGTCTTCGAGGAGGTCGAGAACTCGCCCACCTACATTCCGTAAGAGGAAAGCTGCTGCCTCTTCGGCTTCTGCCCCTTCTACGATCGCGGCTGAGCCTGCTCGCTCCTCAGTCCCACCTGCCGCTGCTTCAGCATCAATTTCTTCTCTATCTGCGGATACTTTGGCAGCGGAACCTTCGGCTTCCCCTTTGTACCTTCTAGTGGATGAAGAGGAGGAATCGTTGCCAATTAATGGGGATTTGGTGCCCCGTAAGAGGAGGTCAGTGGACGTTGGCGACGGGGTTGCCCGGGCCGTAGACTCTATGATGGATGATTTTACCCTTCGTAAGACGGCGACCATTATCCTTGAAGACGATGTCGAGCTGGCCTCTAAGATTCCAAGATCGGCGGAGGCTGGCGAAGACGTGCCTCGCCCTTCTGCAACGACGGAGTCGGAAGGTCCGACTCTGAGGGCTTCTGATTCTTTACGGCTGGAGGGGCCGTCGACTTCAGAGCTAGCTGATGATACTCCCTTGTCGGCCGATGGGAGAGACAAAGGCGTTCCCGAAGATGGTTATGAGACGAGCTTAGACGTCGATGTTGCTGACCTGAGGATGATGAAGGAAGGGTTTACCCAACTCGAGGTGAGGTTGGAGGGGTCTACTACGACCATTGCGATCCCCATGGATCGTATCTATTGAAGAATACAGAGAACGCAGTCCCTGCCCTCGACCCTCTTTGCTCCAAAGTGGAAGGTGAAACCCTCAGAAAGTTGGACGATGTCACTCTGTCGAGGAGCATACCCGGCCTTGCTCGCAGGGTGAGTATTTTAGGGCTTCATGTTTCTACCTGTAGTGTTTTTTGTTCAGTGTTTCTCCTTTGTTGGCGGAGGAGTTCTCATTTTGCTTTTCTTTTTCTTATTATGATTGCAGACCATGATCCTGGAGATTGAAAATTCTCGAAGGGAGGAGAAGCGTAAGAAAATTTTTGAGAAGTTGGAGCGCAAATATTTTGAGTACCGAGGCAAGTGCTAGGAGATTCGCAGGCATTTTGGTGAGGGTAACAACTTGCGGGCCCTTCCTGAAGAGTTGAAGGAGAAGGAAGACGAGTTGATGAGGGTTATTGAGAAATGTAGCATCCTCGAAGGGACGTTGAGAGGTAAGGAGGAAGAGCTCGAAGTCAACAATGGAGTCGAAGCCCAGTGCAGCAATCTCCATGCTCAGGTGGTCTCGCTGCGTGCCCAGCTTAAGTAAAGTCAATTCAGAGCGGATGCTCTAAGTAGCGAGGTCGCCGAGAAGGCGGAGAGTCTTGAGAAGGCGGAGTTTGTTCAGGCGGAGGCTTTGAGGAAGGCGGAGTCTCTTGAGGTAGTGATTCGGACTCTCCGCTCTGAACGAAAAAATAACTTGGAGACGGCAAGGAGAGTTGCTCGATGAGAGAATCGGAGAGTTGGAGAAAGAGACTTCTGGCCTCTACGATCAAGTTGCTGCTCTTGAGGTCGAGAAGGCCCGATTACTGGCACAACCGTCCTCTTCCCATATTCGGACTTTACTAATATTCCTCGAGAGTTGTATGAGGAGTAGATTCACGCCAGGGCTCAATTAGATGTGTTTCGAGATTTGCATGGGGGGGGGGGGAATCTGCTTCTGAGGCTGCCCTCAAAGATGCTCGTGTTAAGGCTTGTGAAGCTCGAGTCGCCTGCGGGTATGACGCCGCTACGCCAGAGGCCAGTGAGGACGAAGGCATAGACCAGCTCGAGGAGGATGCCTGGTATGACACTGCGTATCCCGAGGGCGAAAGTGGCGAAGGCGAGGGTGCTGATGGTCAAGCTGTGAAGGGCTAAGTTGGCAGGGATTCGAAGGCCGAGATGATGGTGGCCAGTAGTTTTATATATGATTTTTGTATGTTTTTTTTGCTGGCGTCTATTGTAAACAGTTTTCAAGTATATGAAATATTAGAGTTGTTCCTTGCATCTTCTTCTCTTCCAGTGATTTTTTTTTTGTGCTTGTGTATATTTTATTTTGGTTTCTTGTTCGAGTGAGGTTGAATTGTGACCTAAATTTAATGACGGTCGAGGGCCAGTGGGTGTTAGTTTGAACAAGGTTGAAGGTAACCTAAATTTGATTACCGTCGAGGGCCGGTAGGCGTTAGTTCGAACAAAGGTCAAACGTAACCTAAATTTGATTACGGTCATGGGCCAGTAGATGTTAGTTCGAACAAGGTCGAACGTAGCCTAAACTTGATTACGGCCGTG